TATATATATATATTAAACAGGGTCATTGATTAAATTTTTGATTAAGTATAATTTAAAAAATTGTCAAAATATTGCATTTATAAATATTTTTGTTCGCATACTAATTATATTTATTTTATCTAAACACTTATCTTAAGATTGAAAACTTTGTTTTTTTATACAATAGGACTTTTTACCTACTAAAGTCGAGTCAAGTAAGTTTTTCAGATAGCTTCAAAACAAGTAAAATTTTTCTACTCAAATAATCTTACCACTTCTTTAAAAAAATATTTATATTAATTAGTTAAACAACCTTATGTATAATTATCGAGATGGGTCTTCCTCTTTCTTTATCTCTAGTAAATAGTAACCATGATTATCATAAGGTTGCTAGGTTGAAACATAAGAACAAATAGGACAGATGTGCATACCTGCCAACTTTTACGCATTTGGCGTAAAATTTTATTTTAATATTTAAAGTGGTAGTAAACATATAATATTTTTTCTTTTATAAACTTATTTTTAAATGATTTTGATCACCACTATTCTTACAAAAATTAAGCATATAGATTAATATGTGCGACAATCATGGTTTTCAGCTAAAGATTTTTCACATAGAGCGTAATTTTTTGATTTTAATTGAAATTTTAATTCAATTTTACAACCACTGGGAAAAATCATAATGGAAGGGATCAAAAGTTGGCAGGTATGGATGTGCATTCTCTACGCGCACTCACAGAAGGTCGAAATTCAAATTTTTCTCAAAACGCAAAGAAATTATTGCTGGGGGTAGTTTCCGATCACGATTTCGATGAAACGGAACAAATTTTTTAGCAGGGACCCTAATCTATAAAATTGTGGCAAAAATAATTTAACCCTTTAACGGGCCCTTTATTTCTAGTAAAGGTAAATTAAAGTATTTTTGGAATTGAAATTGTTTTAAGTGATTTCAAAATTTTAGGTTTTACTCTNATGCCATTTTTTTGGTGGTAAATATATTTAACATGACCTATTAGGAACTTACTGACTTTTATTTTTCTTTATTTATAAAATAAATTCCTTAAATGCTATAAACTTCAAAAGGAATTATGTATTTTATAACTTTTATACGTTTTTTAAAAGTAACAAATGGTTACCAATTTTATTCAAACTCACCTCAAGAAAGCTGAAGTTATTGAAAAATGGAAACTTAAATTAAAAGTGGTAAAACGTGGTGGTAAGTATGCTTACCACTGCCTTCAAAAGGGTTAAAGAGGTCTTGCGATTATAAAAAATTAGATCGCACGTTAGAGATTTTTGCCATGATTTTTTTAAAATTAGATTTTAGGGTCCTTGCTAAAAAGTTCGCTCTGTTTCATCGAAATCGTGATCGAAAACTACCATCAGCGGCAATTTCTATGAGTTTCGAGAACAATTCGAACCTTCTGTGAGTGAACGAGATTTGTGTGCATGTCACCGTGAATGATCGAAATCAAGAGAATGTCGACCTTCACCGGTGAATGTCAACCATCGCATAATCGCTCAGGTGAACGTCCAAAATATTTGTTATACACGATTTGATATTAATTTTTTCGTTGATATTATTATATTTATTCGATATTTTAATACCTACTGAGGATTGATTTTAAAAACCATCAGTGTTAGGAGAACCGGTTATATGTATACTACGTAATGTCACTGAACCTTAAAAGAAACACTGATGTAGGACATACCGGGAAGTGACACTGAACCTTACAAAAATGTCAGTGTAGGGCAGGGATGGGCAAACTTTTTTTGTCGAGGGCTAAAAATCAAGGAAAAAAATGCTTGGTGGGCCAAGTAAAAACTTCAAAATTTAAAAAAAAAAAAGCGATATACAAGTTTTAATTTAAATACAGTGAATTCGCGATAACTCGAATCTGATAGGACTGATGAAAAACTTCGACATATCGGAAGTTCGACTTACCGTTAGTTTCAAAATACTTTCAAAATATTGTCGCATTATTTAATTAATGATCATTAATTACAAATCTTCTAAATGCTTACAATATTTAAGATCATTTTTCTGACAAGCCATTTACGATAAGACTGTTTGAAGCACTTTATGATACACTGGTCCATCGGTTGCAACTTTGCCGTTGTGTCACTATGCACTGTGCATTTATCCATAAAGTGTATCACTTTTCTTTTTTTAGCGAAGAATTTCCGATCCAATTTTCTTACATAGTCTTCAGATAAAACTGAAGTCATCCAAAACTTTTTGTTAGACTTGTAATCCAAAGGATACGTTTTTACATTCTTGAAACATCGGGGATTTCGGTATTTTCC